GATTTTTTCAATTTGTTATTCTTCTCTTGTCAATTTTTTGCGACAATAATCCGTCCAATGAGAGCGCAAAATGCTAAATTCTTTAGGAGTACAATCAGTACAATACCAAATATAAAGGGTGCAAAATAGTAGAGCGAATGGGACTTTTAGTAAGAAAAGGATTTCTATCCTTCCAGAAATTCTTCCCAAACATTCCAGATACCTTAAATCGCTTTGGCAGGTCATGATATCGATCATAACTCTCGGATAAGGGTACAACCCGATTTCATATTTATATAACCATCGTATGATATATGCTAATTTTGGGGTCTTGGCCACTTTTTTCATTTTCTGGTCCTTATTTGGCATCTTTGTTTCTAAGGGGGTAGAGAACCTCTTTGCATACATTGAAATTTTCAGAATAGGGCCCACACTGTTCTTACCTACATTCATCAATTTATTTGGCTAAAAAGTTGTATTTATGCTACCCTGCGGTAGGGAACCATCATACAGATAATTGTCACATAGGAATTTATTTAAGTTAAGTCCCCATATTGGAGTATCCGCAAGTCCACTTTCACATCTAATGAGTGGTCAGAAAAGAAAATTTTGTATTCTATTGAATTTGTACTTCAATAGAATATTGGTTGGGAACGTAGATTTGGGATATGCATCTATATGAAATAAATTGTGAAAACATGAACAAATTACAAATATAAGAAAGTAGCACGGGACCGAATATTGAATCGTCATTGAATTATACTATGATGAAAAATATGGACTTTATGGGGTCTCCAACTTACAATTTAAATGGAAAATAAAATTAATTCCCATCTTACGGTAATGGGTGTAAAATAGTAATTATATTTGACCCTTCCCTTCAATTATGAGGTGGATAAAACTATTTCAACTTATTTAAATCACGCGAATTTTTTTTAGTTTGACATGCTATGTTGTTCAGCTATGTTTTTGATTTGGTACAAAATACAGTAAATTCCAAATTACTTGAAAATTTTGCTACAATTTTTACCATACTAAAAAAATTAATTAATTAATAGATTTGTATAGCACATCTACACATTTGAAGCCCACGATTTAAATATTGAAGCCCACGGCTTAAATATGGAATATGAATTTGCACATACGACAATATTGGGCCTAGAAGCAAGTGTAGTGAAAATAGTTTTTGATAATAATAGGACATATTTAATAATCAAACACGTAATCAAATTTAGCTCAAAAACAATTTATAAAAATTATTATTAAACACTATCAGTAAATGGTTATAATTTATGTTTCATTCATAACATATGTTCTTGTTTCTATTGAACAGACCTCGGGCATAGAAACAAAATATGGCTGTTTTTTATTCTTACTGGAGGTAAATGGTGCTAGATATTGGTGTTTCGCTTTCTGAATTACGATGTCTATATAAATTCCACATTGGCCACAGTATTTGAACTTGGAGAACTATAATAAAAATATAAGATTTACTTTCAATTTCTTTAATGAATTCAAAGGCAACTTACCAACTATTGACACAAACAATAGCAAAATGAGATACGGCGAAACAAACGTTAGAAGAATTAAGCCCGAAATAAAATTGACAATTATCAAGAAGCCATGAACAAAATATATAGACATGGTAAAAAAGACAAAGGGTGTCAGGACCTTCAACTCATTCTGAAAAGAAAAAAAAAAAAAAAAAACAAGTACAATATAATGAAAATGATGTTCCTATCAACTGAGCAATTGTGTCAGTTTTAATCAGTAAAGAAAGTCTTAAAGTCGGGCAGGGCCGACTTTATGATACCCTACACCACTTTGCATATTTAGTAGAGCTTTACATCACAATTAAAAGTTTTATGGGAGAATTAAATCATACAAGTTTTGATAATTATTATAATTTAAAGTTCGATGGACTAAATATGCCTAAAGGGCTAAATACATAAGAAGCTTGAAATCATGGCTAGGCATATTAATGTCAAATTATAATGGAAAACGACGGCTGGATTTTAGTGCGGCTCTGTAATCCCTTTGTGAAATGTCACAAAATATGCCTGGCCATGACTTCAAGCTTTTTATGTATTTGCAGCCTAAGCATTTTTATCTTTTCAATTCGGGTTGTATTATCCATTTGGCGCACAAATAATTTAAAATCGGATAAAGATATATATGGGAGATATACCAAATCTGCACAGCAAAGATATTTCTGAGCTGTATTTGATATATTTCCCTGAATATCGTTGTTACGGAGTGCATATTACGGCTGTGGGGAACGAATATAACAATTCGGATGAACAATATATATGGGAGCTATAGCTATATCTGAACCGATTTTTACCAAATTTGACATACTAGCTTCTAGACTCAATTCGGTCGTAAGTACCGAATTCCATTCCATTTGGGCTAATATTACACGCTTGGTGCACAATAAAAAGGCAAATCGGACGAAGATATATATGGGAGCTATATCCAAATATTAACCGATCTCGATAAAATTTAGCAAGGGTATTTCTGAGTTATATTTGATATATTTCCCCATATATTGTTGTTACAGAGTGCATATTACGGCTGCGGAGGACAAAAATAACAAATTAGATGAACAATATATATCGAAGCAACAGCTATATCTGAACCGATTTCGATCAAATTTGGCATAATTTCAGGTCTAATTTTGTCGTATGTGCAAATTTCCATACTATTTAGCTGGATATTACACGTTTCGTGCACAAAAGGCAAATCGGGCGAAGATATATATGGGAGCTATATCTAAATTTTGACCGATTATCTCCAATTTCTCCAATAGGGTTCGTCCTTGGGTCAATAGGGTTCGTTCTTGATTTTATCTGGATCAGGCAATAAATGCGATTCATACTTTGCTTACAAATATACATGGACTGAGGGACAGACGGACATGCATAAATTGACTCAGAATGTGATTCTATGCAGATCATCAAAAGGAACTATGGGTCTATCTCGTTTCCGCATGCCTGTTACCAACAAATGCACAAAGACATAATACCCTGACCACTTTGTGTTGTAGGGTATAAAAATTAAAGAAGCAAACACGCGTTAAGTTCGTCCGGGCCGAACTTTTAATATCCTCGACCATTAGAAACGGGCCTGAATAATGGATCCATTTTAATTTTTAATGGTGAACGGCTAAAAAAGGTCGATTGTACCGGTTTTCTGACAAAATGGTTGTTAAAGTGTCAAATATCAAGTTAAAAACAAGTAAGCAAAGGCTATAGTCGTGCGGGGCCGACCATGTGATACCCTACGACACTACAATATGTTAGAAGCACCCTTATGTCCAACTCCATTTTGGAAGATTTCGCATTTTGAAATTTAGTCATGGAGCACTGCCCAGATATTGCCCTTACCATTTAGACCAGGGACATTTGCGCACTCCGTCGTGCTGTTAGTTGTTGTGGTCCATTTTACAGCTAAATATAATCCAATGGCCATTCAGAAAGCTAGAATTCTTCCCTATCCTTAACTCTCTTCGCAGGCATGTCGATTGGCTTCAATTGTGTGATCAGTAATTTTTTTCTGTTTTGGTTCATTTGAGCCCCTTACATATTTCGCTATATACATCCGATATATTTACTATCGGCATCTACGTAACGGTCAGGATTGACCTGTTCGTCTATTTGTGATTTCGCCGGGATTAAACATATACGCGGTTTAATGGAAAATTTGATTTTATTTAAGACAAGTGTCATGGCCTTTTCACCCACTAAATATTACCCGATTACTATCAAAATTGGAAGACTTCTGCCCAGACTTAAGCTCTAGCCACATGCTAACTTCCGCGTCGATTAGTCTATAACTGCGACCTGTAGAGCAACTGCAAAATCAGGAAATTTTTCAGTATTTGGTCCATTTCAACCCCTAAATATTATGTGATCATTTCCAAAAGAAATAAGTTTCTATTCTGGCCCAAACCCCACCACCATTCTAAATTTCATGAAGGTCGGACAATAATTGCGACCTGTAGAGTGATTACAAATTAACATGGACAGACGGACAGACGGACATACATAGCTAGATCGACTCAGCTCGGCGAGATAGGAAAATCCATATATACTTTCCTATGTGGGAAACCAATATTTCGAGGTGTTACATAATTTTTGGCCCAATCAAACTTATAATACCCCCAACACATAGTGTTGTAGGGTATAATTACCTGTTATAAATGTGGGTAATATAATAAAAATACCGAATATTCGGAGGTACCGCCTTATCAGTAATACAAGAAATAATGGGCCTATTTCAGCAGTCTTCTGTCACAGAAGACAGAGCATAAACAACTCTAAGTACCGAATCTTAAACAATTCAGTTAGAAAAAGAAAGACAAACTTATGCTCGCCATATTATGGTGGAGGGTATAGAAGGATTTTCCGTCCGCTATAAGCATTAAACTCGCCATTTATGATTTGTTGTTAAATACTCTACACATACTTGCCCATGGGTACGTTTACATTAATATGCATTGACAATTTTTTCGTATTTTTTATTATACCCTCCACCATAGTATGGAGGGTATATTAAGTTTGACATTAAGTTTGTAACAACTCGAAATATATATTTTAGACCCCATTTTTGATCAGCATAAAATTCTATGTCGATTTAGCGAAGTCCGTTCGTCTGTGGAAATCACTCTAGCTTCCGAGCGAAATGCAGTAGGTTGATAAAATTTTGCTCAAATGTATATTATGTCTGCAGGACTTTTGGTATTGAAAATGGGCCATGTGGTATAGCCCCCACATAACGGTACCTATTTTCGGTATTTTGGTGATTTATGTGACATTATTAACCCGAAATGTTTCAATCTTACAGCTTTTTACTTGTTACTTGTTTTACTTTCGACTTTGTAATAATATAAAAATAATCAGAGAAACAAGTTATTTTATTTTTATTTTTGAAGGTATAATCCATTATTTTTGATCTATTGGTGGTTTACAACCAATGGGTTCTTCAGCCTATACTGTCCCAAGTTTTTGTGGAGTACTTACCTTTTTAATTCCAATAACTAATGTAACTGAGACACTAATCAACATGATCGAATATAAAAATAGGCAACTATGGAAACCAACCATCCAATAACATTTTTTATCTGAAAAGATGAAAAAATATGAAAATTCGAATATATATAAGAGACAGAATGAAAGTTCGTATCTGTTGATATGGCTGAGAATCACTTTGGATGTGATACTCAAAATTTCCACCGATTTCATACATTTATCTGTAGGCAATTGCTAAATACGGCAAAATCACCTCGATAGCTAAACCAACCCCAAAGAGGCGATGTGGTATACACCACATATGTTTCTTTGAAATACATCCTTTGTTCGTCGGTCAGGCCATGTTAAATATTTTTGTATTTGTTAATATTGCAAGCTCGGTAAATTTTTCTTGACTGATGCGTTCTAATTCTATTTTTTATCACCTTTGAACTGAGATTTTGCAATTTCGCTTACTTCCCCAATTGAGATTCCGATTCCAATAAGGGCGACTATCAAATTGAAGTAAGCCGCTGCTAGTGATACAAATTTTAAATTATACTCTATCATATTTTTTTAAAGCGTGTGTTAATAATTTTTAATTCTGTTCGACGCGGGCTTTGTTGTTTTCACTTTCACTGTTTGTCAAGATGAGAAGTATTTAAGGACTGACGTATTCTATACGCAAGCAATGGATACTCGCATGTAATCATGCATAATTGTATGTACGTACATGCTATTGCCGAGGGATTTCCCTGTAGCTGATAAGATTCAGAAGAAATTTATACATACTTATAAAAAACCTGTAAGGAAGGGTCAAAAAACCGGATCGGTCTACTGTTTGATACTTCACAGTATTCTTAATTAAAAAAATGCGAAAATGGACATTTCATGGGATATACCTTAATATCGGCAATCCTTGATGTATAAAATTGTCTATGGAGGTTCCCGTTTTGGTATGGCCCCAATATAACGGCCTCACCCACTTTATATATTTATACCCTACACCACATAGTGATAAGGGTATTATGTCTTTGTGCATTTGTTTGTAACATGGAGAAGGAAACGAGATAGACCCATAGTTAATTTTGAGAATCTTCATAGAATCACTTTCTGAGTCGATTTATGCATGTCAGTCCGTCTGTCCGTCCGTCCGTCCGTCCGTCCGTCTGTCCATGTATTCTTGTGAACAAAATGCAGGTCGCATTTATTATCCGATTGAGATGAAATTTTCCAAACAATATTTTTTTGGCCCAAGGACGAACCCTATTGAAATTGGTGAGAATCGGATCAAATTTAGATATAGCTCCCATATATATCTTCATCCGATTTCGGGTTAAATATGCACCAAATATCCACTATCAGTCCAAATTACCTGAATTTTGGCACACCCAACCGAGTTCGGCCTAGAAGCAAGTATATCAAATTTGGAGAAAATCGGTTCAGATATAGCTATAGCTCCCATATATATCTTTCATCCGATTTGATCTTTAAGTCCCTCACATTCCTACTATGCACTCCACAACCGTGATATTTGGTACCAGGTATTAGATGGAGCACAGAAATAGCTGTTTGAAATTTTATCGAAATCGGTTCAGATTTGGATATAGCTCCCATATATATCTTCATCCGATTTCGGGTTAATTGACCACCAAATGGCCAATATCAGCCCAAATGGCCCGAATTTTGGCACATGTGACCGAGATTAGCCTTAAAGCAAATACAACAAATTTGGAGAAAATCGGTTCAGAAACAGCTATAGCTCCCATATATATATATATTCATCCGATTTCGGGTTAAATGTGCACCAAATGTCCACTATCAGTCCAAATTACCTGAATTTTGGCACACCCAACCGATTTCGGCCTAGAAGCAAGTATATCAAATTTGGAGAAAATCGGTTCAGGTATAGCTATAGCTCCCATATATATCTTTCATCCGATTTGGTGTTTAAGCCTCTCACATTCGTAATATGCACTCCACAAGAATGATATTTGGTACCAGATATAAGATACAGCCCAGAAATAGCTGTTTGTAATTTTATCGAAATCGGTTCAGATTTGGATATAGGTCCCATATATATCTTCATCCGATTTCGGGTTAATTGTGCACCAAATGACCGATATAAGTCCAAATGGACTGAATTTTAGTACATCGGACCAAATTCAGCCTAGAAGCAAGTATATCAAATTTATTGAAAATCGGTTCAGATATAGATATAGCAACCATATATATGTTTCATCCGATTTAGAGTTTTAGTCCCATACATTCGTAATATTCACTCATGGAGCACAGGAATAGCTGTTTTAAATTTTATCGAAATCGGTTCAGATTTGGATATAGCTCTCATATATATCTTCATCCGATTTCGGGTTAAATGTGCACTAAATGGTCAATATCAGCCCAAATCACCAGTCTAGAAGATAATACGTAAAATTTGGAGAAACCGGGTTCAGAGATAGCTATAGTTCGTAAAATGCACGATAGAATTATATAGATTTTGATTTTGTACCAAATATCTCACAGAGCTCTGAAATGCCCTGTATAAACCTTTTTACGAGAGCTCTACTAAATATGCATAGTGGTGTAGGGTATCATATAAACGGCCCCGCCCGACTTTTGAGCTTTCCTTACTGGTTTTTTTTTTTTTTTTTTGAAAAGTTGAACAGCATTATCCAAACGTTCTTACTGGTATTTGTAGTTTAAAGTGGAACATCTTTGAATTCAGATACTTTTATATAAAAATGTTATCTATATCCAAAGATGGAGGGTATTAGAAGTTCGGCCCGGTCGAACTTAATATTTTTTTACTTGTTTTTTAATTGTTATTTATGTGATTTCAGTTACTACATTTAAAATTTCAACTTTGTTTCAGGCCATTTTTCAAGTACAAGCGAAATTGTATGAGAATGTCCAAAACATAAACTTATTTCAATGATTTTTAATAAGGTGGTTTAATATGTACAAAAATCACTACATACGAAATTCGCAATAAATTTGGCTGGAAATTATGAAAATTTTAATGAAAAAGCGTTTATATCCTCTGAAAAAATGAATTGCCAAATTACAACTAAACCTTCGGAATACTTCACATTTTCTTGAGAGTAGAAAACTTACACTTACAAAAACTTGAAAAACATTTATAAAATTTTACCTAAATATGTTTTAAGTCTATTACATACATGAAAATTGGCTGCATAGGTTCGAGTTGTGGTAATTGGTTCCTCTACTTAAATAGAACATTTTCTATTTAGTAATCGTTTCTCAGGCCGATCTTAACTGATTTGTTCTTGCTTTAAAGAGACTTTTAAAAAGTCAGTCGGGGCAGACTTTATGATACCCAATACCCCTTTGCATATTTGTAGAGCTTTATATAACAAATAAAAATTATAATAAATCAGATGAACAAGTATATGTGGAAGCTATAGCTAGATCTGAACAGAAACCAAATTTGGCAAACTCCTTTCTAGGATCAATTTGGTCGTAAGTGCCAAATTCTTTTACACGTTTGGGGCACAATAAAAGGTACACCTCAACCGATCTCGATACAATTTTGCAAATGTATTTCTGAGCTGTATTTATGCGAAGGACAAAAATATTAAATGTGATGAACAATACATATGGGAGCTATAGCTATATCTAAACCGATTTCTATAGAATTTAGCATACTTATTTCCAGGATTTATTATGTTGTATATGCAAAATTCCATAATATTTGGGCTGGTAATAAAAATCAAATCGGACGAAGACATATATGGGATCTATATCTAAATTTTGACCGATTATCCCCAATTTAGGGTTCGTCCTTGGATCATACACATTACTTGTGCAAAATTTCATTTTGATCGGACAGCAAATGCGACCTGTACTTTGTTTACAAACATACATGGACAGACAGCCGGACGGACGGACGGACGGACAGACGAACATGAAAGGAATTATCTCGTTTCCTTTTGCATGTTGCACTACCACCTTGTTGTGTACGGTATACTCTATATTTATAAAAAGAATGTTGTGTCAGTTACTACGCTTATAACTCAAGAATCTCTGATCTGATTTTAACGTGATGGCGAAACGGAATAATGATATCGAAATAATTTAACGCGGTCACAGCAAAGTTAAAGGACAACTACTTTTTCAAAATCGTTAAAAAAAAAATCACGAAAAAAGAGATTCCATGGCAAAAATTCTCAAATCCAGAAAATCGTGAAAAAAAAAATCTAAAAAAGCTTCAATGCAATCTAATTTCAAAATAATAGTACATTCTATTGACAAAATTTTGCTGTAAAAAAATCATCGAACAAATTGAATATTTTTTTCTTTTTATACCCTCCACCATACAACGACGGGTATATTAACTTTGTAACTCCTCGAAATAATCACGTCAGACCCAACAAAGTATATATATATATATATATATATATATATATATATATATATATATATATATATATATATATATTCGAATTTGAATATGGTAATTGCTTATGACAAACAATGCCTATGTAGGTTCATCTCGTATAGACCCCAATATAATGGCTACATTCGGAATTTTTAAAATTTAACAGCATTTTTTAAAGATTTTATTATTTGAAAATTATCTAATTCGTTCCAAATGGTTGAGGGCATTCAAAGTTCGGCCCGGCCGAACTTACTGCTTTTTAACTTGTTTCAATTGGTTTTTCTTTTTTTGGCAATTTTATATAAAGTACGATTTTTTCAATTTGGCTTATCATATTGAATTCAATCGATATTTTGTAAACAAAATAAAGAATTATTTTCACAATATAAAAGAAAGCCTTGACGAATCGCAGTAATATGTGTCAATAAAAATGTGAATGAAAAGAAATCTTTTTGGTGTGATTTTTATTTTAATTTGACATACTATATTGAAGTGTACATTTTTTATTGTTTTCAATTCTGAATGAATAATGAGTAACCTACGTGAACCTACTTCTTTCATATGACAATAATCCGTCCAATGAGAACTCAAAATGCAAAATTCATTGGGACTGCAATGAATGAAATACCGAATATAAAGGGTGCAAAATGGTGGATTTATTACCTTCCAGAAATTCATCCTAAACTTTCAAGAGACCTTAAATAGGATTTGATATGGGTCATAAATTCCGGATAAGGGTACAACCCGATTTCAAATATTTTTTGATCACGTTTTTGTATAACTATCATATGATTTAAGCTATTTTTGGTGTCTTGCCCACGTTTTTAATTGATGTTGGCCCTTACTTAGGTGTTAGAAAAACTCTTAGCATAAAATTTTTTAATTTTCGAATTAGCACCCGTCTTGGTCTTGACCACATTTTTGGCTAAAAAAATTAGGATACTCTGAGGTAGAGCACCGTCTTATAGATAATTGTCCACATAGGTATTTGTTTAAGTATAGTCCCTACATTATGTATACCCCCATGTTCGCTTTTCTAAAAAATGTGTGGGCAGAAAAGAAAATTATGTATTCTGTTGAGTTTGTAATCCTCACGAGACCATTGGTTAGGAACGTAGATTTCGGATGTACGTCTATATGAGATAAAACCCGAAATGTCAAACTGGGATTCATACAGTCCGAAATTGT